CAAACCACTCCACCACGATCAGGTGATGACTCCATGGAGTGGAAACAGAGTATACACATGCCTGAAAAGTCTGGACAAGACTTTCCGTGAGAGCTTACGCCAGAAGAATGCAGTGGTAACCTTTGACGAAAGAATTTACTGTGAGGCCAAGTGCATTCAGTGGGCTACTTCACCAGACCTGGACAATGTAATTGTTCATCTGGGAGGATTTCATTGAGCTAAAAACTTTCACAGTGTTATTGGCAAGCGCATGACAGAATCAGGTGTTGAGGATCTTAGGATCGAGAGTGACATATATAGTAGCAATGTCGCAATGAAGACAATCAGCGGGACGTACTATAATATTTATTTATTTATTTATTTAACATTTCGTTATACACGGTTAAAAATCATCAGGTAATACTAATATTTAAAATTAATACTAATAAACTACTAATAAAGAGTCCATGCTAAATACTAATTAATAATTAGCAATAAGAGCTCATAAACTAACCCTTGAAGTATTGCAGAGATTACAGTGGAGCACCCTTATGGAATGGTTGGAGAAAAACGGAAAAATGGATGGGAAAGAAATAAATTGCATCAAAGAGAAGAAACAGAAGTTTCTCAGTCTTTTCCAACAAGGGCACAACTGTGTACTACAGCAACAAAGTGAAATCCGTCAGGAACCAATTGAGCTCAGTAACTTGCTGATTGAGAAGATTAGTCCACTGTATTTCCAGCTCAAAGAACAGGGTTGTAAATGCCTGGCTTTGTTTGCATTTTGGAATGAATACATGGAAATGGTGTGGCTATTGTTGAATTTCATCCACGGTGACAGAGATGCTAATTGGCTTCTGCATCTTGAAACATTCAATACAATGGTACCCTATGACAGAGCATTTGACCACCTAAACTACTTTAGATGGGTAACAGTTAACCTAACAGATATGAAGATGCTGGAAGAGGTCGCCCCAACAGTACATCAAGAGTTCACTGAGAATAGAGCCCATGCTGTATCAACATCATCTTCCGAGTCATTGTTCAATTCTGTCTCACCAGACATGGCTTGGAGCAGACAGTGAAGAGAGATTCCAAAACCAAAGGACGAATTGTTGGAGTTACTGGTATGGAGGGAACACTGGTATGGACACTCACAGCTCATATGATGGCAGCAGCAACAGCTTCTTTCAAAGTGGGATCTCAGCAGGCTCAAGCTTCCATAAAGAACTGAGGTCACAAAGAATTGAAAGAGATCAAAATGACGTGAATAATATCATTTAGTGAATTGACACGAAATTGGTAAATCCATTTGATATTGGTCAGTACAAAGGAGAAAAGATGCCACTGATCAATATCGCCACTGGGACAGTTGCACCATCTGAAGCTTTGGAATCTTTACTCAATGCTAAGGAGCAAGGCAAAAAGGCAGTGGGAGAGTTTGTCCAAGCTAGGCCAATATCTGACAAGGAGAATTTCTGGGATCCTTTGAAGAAAATCAACATCAAAACCTTTCAAAGTCTGAACAAACCTATTTTGCCAAGTATGGAAAACCAGGCTCTGAAGACAATCAACTTTGACAGGCAGGTGTATGGTAGACATCTTGTAGTGTCCAAAAGCCGTGACATTGATCTAGAAGAAGTGCAGTTGTATGAACTTGCATCTGTCCCCCTTGCATTAGCCATCATGGATGGGTCTCTGAGGAAATCAACCAAGAGTACTTTGCTGAAGGAACTAGAACTGGACAGTCTTGCCAAGAGCACACTTCCTGCTTATAGTCTTCATCAAACAGCGTACATAGTTGACCTTCTGGCAGAAATTCAGATGTTGTCAAAAGGAAAGGTGAAAACATTCAGAGAGCCATCTGACACAATTGCAGGAACTACTATTGCTAAATTCCAGTTCACAAGTCAAGTCCATATTGTCCCAGACCGATATGATGTAGAAGACTTGATTAAGTTGGGAGAAAGATCCAGACGATCTCTGTAGATGGCCATAGAAACAAAGATTCAGACCAGAGAAACGAAGTTACCTGTCAGTCTCAAACATTATTTGTCCAGTGGGAAAAACAGATCCAATTTGTTGACGTTTCCACATTTATGTGATTGGTGTGAGAACTTTCCCGGACAACTCAAGGATGGCCAAACACTCATTCTAGCGTCACAGATGGGTCAGCAGTGAAAGTCACTAAGACATTGAACAGAAGATATAATTCCTCTCTATTCCAACCATGAGGAAGCAGACAGTGGGATGTTTGTGCATTGTGAATATATTGCAAACCAGTCATCAGACATCAACAATTCTTCCAAGAGGATCATCGTTTTGTTCTCCAGACACAGATGTGGCAGTTTTGTGTTGGTATCACTTCAGCCAACTGTCCATTCAAGAGCTTTGATTCCACAGAGGTACTGGAAGAAACAAAAGGTTCATTCCTGTGCATGACGCTGTTGAAAAAGTGGGTCCAGACATGTGCAATCTTTTACCAGCCATGCATGCCTCAACAGAATGTGATTCCACGAGTAACCTAAAGAGCATAGGCAAAAAGGGAGGGTTCACTACACTGAAGAAACATAAAGGTGACCTTGTTGGACTGAAGAACCTGGGTACAGACTGCACAGTCAAGCGATGAAACTTTGACTGTTTCTTTCAAATTTATCGGTCTTCTATATGGAGAAGCTACTTCAAATTTGAACCGTCTCAGGTACAAGCTTGTTACTAAGAAACACCTGGAGAAAAGCAAACTTCTGCCTACTGAAGATAGTGCATTGTATCATGTCAAAAGAGCACAATGATCGACCCATCAGGTTCACGAACAAGAAAAGTACAGGTTAAATGATTACTAAATGGGTGCAGTGACTATCTAGCAGAGTAGACTATTATTTTTTCCCGCACTAGACATAGATAATTTTTTAAGTTTGCAGACGCAACTTCCCAATGCTGCAGTCAACTGAAGTTTTAATAATTAGATTTTTATTTATTTTGGATGTAAAATCTGCCTAAATTGTCTCAGTATAAATCTACTGGTGTTCTATCACGAATAATGTTCTCTGATTAGCTACACTACTGACTATCTATTCTGTTATAGATAGTGAGTAGCGTAGCAGAGTGCCCTTGTTAACAAAATGAGAGCTGCTTCTTGGTGTTTTTGAAGTGTCTGTGAAGAGCATTTAAACTTCTTTTAAAAAGTAAAGGTTAAAACTACTATTAGATTTATATTAAAACAATTAGATTATTCGCTCTTGATTTCTATGCGTGATAGTTGACTCGGGCTGCATCCTCATCAGCTATCATGCGATAGAAATCTTGAGCTCATAATCTAATTGTTTATTAGTATAAATCTACTAGCGTTCTATGACGAATGCTGTTCTCTGATCGGCTACGCTACTCACTATCTATTCTCTGATAGATAGTGAGTAGCGTAGCAGTGTGCTCTTGTTAACAAAATGACGGCCGCCTCTTGGCATTTTCAAAGTGTCTGTGAAGAGCATTTAAACTTTGTTTAAAAAGTAAAGTTTCAAACTATTAATTTTATACTGAAACAATTAGATTATTTGCTCTCAATTTCTGTGTGTGATAGTTGACTCGGGCTGCACCCTCATCAACTATCACGTGATAGAAATCGTGAGCTCCCAATCTAATTGTTTAATATTTTTCTCAGTAGTTTTTAATTGATAAGTGAAAGGAACTTTATACAAAAATAAGAAATATAAAATGCCCTTTCCAAAAAGACGCTTAAGATTGCATGTATGGATAAAATATACTCGGCCATATTGACTTTCCGTTTTTGTCAATTTTATGATGTCATAATCTGATCATGTGACTTATTATAAACATCATCATGTTATCCATGGCATGAACTCAATCTTGTGAAAATTTTGTATTTTTAGACAAAATCTGTTGATGGCCATAGCTGATAAACTATTTCACCCCTTGTCCCAGATTGTTGTGAAAATCACTAAAAAAACATATAGATACTCAGGAGAAGTGTACTTTAAGGTGCTGTAAATTACCATGGCCCACTTGGCCAGCTCCACTGCCACCCCATTATTATTCCCTAAGGTCTAAAGAACATTGCTGGGTGAGTCAAAGTCTGCCAGCTCGTCGAGTAAACAAAATCATTTTTTAACCCCCTTTCCCAGCGTGGGCACCCGGACCACCTGATTGTCCTTATTGCCATGACATTGATCAGACATCACTCCATTTATTTGTGGAATGTTCAATTGCTAAATCCTTTTGAAATAAATTTACAAAGTGGTACAATGCTGCATGTAGAGGAACATTGTTTTGGAGTAAAACAAAATGATCTATGGTGTTTTAAAACACACATCATCTGGTTTAACCCTAAATCACTTGATCATAATTGGAAAATACTTTCTTTACATTAATGCAGTACAAGATGAAAAAAGACCCCAGTTCACAGATTTCGTAACCCTCGTTAATGAAAAAAATTGATTTTCAAAACTACATTGCGATTATGACAAATAAATTACTTTCTTTTACTAAAAAGTGGTCCAACTTTTTAAACAATTAACTATTGGAGGCTAGCTGTGGTGTGGAAATACAATATTGTTGCTATCTATTTGTAACTAACTTAATTACATTTATCAATTTGTAAGTAATTGTATTGTATTGTAGCATATGTATTGTTTTGTCAGTAATATTGTATTTTAAGTAGTTTTGTATTTCTTTAAGTCGTTTTAGTAGTGTATTGTTATTAGTCTAAGTATTACTTTATAAGTAGTATAGTTTAAGTAGTGTGTTGTACTTTGTTGTGCATGAAATTAAAATTAAATATGCATATATATAAAAATGTTGAAAGTTACTCTGGCTTTGTTTATACCGACTTTGACATCTTCATCTGAACCTCTGTCAATGCTGATTATACTGCCTGGGTAAGCAAAAGATGTTACTTCCTTTAATATAGTATCCCTCACTATAATTTGTCTGTTGGTGCAGTTGACCTTCATAACCTTGGTCTGTTCACATTTTAGATGCAGGCCAAGCTTAATGGAATTAGCTGTTAATTGTGCTGTTTTGTCCTGCATTTGCTGGTTGTTACTTGACACAAGGGAGATATCATTAGCAACTCTAAATCGTTGAGGTGCTCCCCTATGTTCTACTGGATCCCATTTCGCTGTCCTCTTGTTGTTTCCTTCATGAGCCAGTCAAAAGCAAGTAGAAACAAGAACGGTAACCGTAAAGCTCTCTGACAATTTACCAACATGAAGGACTTTGCAGGTCATCCTATGATAGGAGTTTTTGATGATTCAAATGAATTTCCCTGGTATGCCGTAGTGTTTCATGAGGCACCAAAGAATTCTTCTATCCAGGCTAGCAAAAGCCTTCTCGAAGTCGACGGAGTTGACATAAAGGGAATTATTCCATTCACTAGACTGTTAGTGCAGTTAGCTCTCAATGATGGAAACAGTGGCATGACTCCGTTAAAAAGTCTGCAGTCTGCATTTCACCCCGGTTTGCAGTCTGCATTTTCCCCCAGTCTGCAGTCCACACTCTACGTTTTACACTGACCAAAATAGGAAATTACTGGGTTGCTGCTTTTTTGCTGGTGCTGCTTTACAAAAACTTTTGTTTTATTCATTTCAAACAATTTGAACCTTGGCTAGCTTTGGACAGAATTATTTTATTGTTCGAGGTCAACAAATGTAATTGAATTAAATGAAATAGCCAATGAATTTGAACTGTTCCCTTGATTAGCATTTTATAAGGAAAAGTGCGAGCAGTTGCCTCTGCTGTTAAAACATTCTTAAAATTGCTTCTATAATGATTACTAGACTAACTGCTTCCCACTGTGGTTGATGATAGCTGTTAGCGGTAATAAAGATTATTGCTGTGCATGTGACATTTTCAATTAACCAGCTGGAGTGATTTCAAAGTTCAAAAATATGTTTGGGATGCATGACTAAGTGCAGTTAAACACAGAGTGAGCCTATATAACAAGGCTGAGGTGTTCAGCGTGCCAATCACAAATCCCAACAGGCCACCAATGCTAACATTTGACTGGTTTATTCACTCAGGTCTAATTTTTAGCATGTACAGAGTTGCCACTTAGTTCTGGAGAGTGGTTGGGTGTAATTTTCTGTTGTGTTTTAGAAATAAGCAATACCTTTTGAATTAAACGAACAATAGCTTTAGGAGAAGAGTTTAGAAAGATAATTGATTTTTTTTATTTCAACTTCACAATTTGTTTTTCCACTTGCAAAAGCATATCGTAATATGTTTTCGAGCTGTTTTAATACTGAAATGAAAATGCTGTGTCTTGCACTTTCAATGCTTGAAAGAAATTCGAGTCACTTTACAGTTGAGAAATTGGCTTGGAAACTAAAACTCGTATAAGACCCAAGAGACAAGTAGACAGCCCCTAAACAAAGTATTATATCTACGGTAATATAGTTATTCTTCAGCCAGTTATCTAAAAGAGATTCCATAAGGTGAGCATTGGCTGCTGTTGTGATCTTACTGCTCAAATTCAGTCAGTATTTTACGAATGCAATTTTTATTTTTATTGCATTCAGCCATGAGTCTTCCTCCTCCTTTTCTAACATTGATATTCAGGTGAAATCTCACTTTGCCATTTTTCAAGTTCTCCGAATAATTTTGAATGTTCCTGTGTTCGCAGCCCAATCAAAATCACCTTTTACGAGATTTGTTTTTGTTCTCGGCATGCTAAGATAAATGGAAATAGATAGCTCATTGATCGCATATGTCAGCTTAGTTAGCGTTGAAATTTGAATGTTCCATGAAGTGACTGCCGAACAGACGAAGAGAATTGATTGTTTTTGTTCTTCCAAATGCATCATCCAAAGGGTTAACGTTAGTCTGTTTTTCACTGTTTTCTTATTACTCACCATATTTTATTCTACGTGAATGACTCTGCTATTTTAACCAAAAAAAACGCTTTTTCTTCTCAACTTCTACTGGTGTACAACTGCTATTTCAGCTTTCGTCCATTACACCAAAAAGCTTACAAAGTGCTTCAAAGGTGGCGTGACCTTGTCTTTTGTAGGCTCACTCCATGTTTACGAGTAGGTTCCATAATTGAAGTTGAGTTGGTGCCACATGGGAGCTGGAGAAACCTTAACCTGTGTCAATGTCTTTTATTTAAGTGGCAGTAGATATTGGTGCTATTTGGCTAGTGCTGCTTCTGGGAACCGTTTTCTATCGATTCGAAATTTTGCAGTGCAGTTTTAAACTTCGTTTTAAGCTTTTTGTTCCTGTTGCCATCACAATTATAATTATTTTTGGGGGGAGAGGGATGAGTGGGTGATTGTGGTAATTTCCTTCATAAAGACTAATAGTTCTTTCGTAGAGGTTATTGTATGAAAAATGTTCCATTAGCCTTAGAGTGTCTAATTAAAGGTCCAAGTACCCCTAGAAACTTCTTGTCCTGGGATAACATCTACCAGTCAGGTTTAAGGCTTGATAACCTGTCTAACATTGACCCATTGTGCTGTGATGAGTTCATTGATTCCATTGTGTCTTGTATCTCCATAGCCCAGTGTACCGGGACATCCTCGGATAAAAAGAAAAGCAACCAGTCCATGCTCAGGTATAGTTTATTCATAATAAATACTTTTGATTAGTCTATCAATTAAAAAGAAAAAGATTATGTCTTCAAAGCATATGAGGCGCCAAAGTGGACAAAAATGCCGTTTAGCAATTTTTCTTTCCAATTAATGCATTATGAGTACGGAGAAAATTAGTCTAATTGAAATGTGTTTAAGACGTTCTAAATTTCCTATTTTAAAAGAATAAAGTATGCTATTAATGTTTTTTTTCATGGCAAGTTTGAAAAAAACTCTGCTCATAAGAATGAAAAATTATCCTATTCTCAGTCTGAAAATACATTGTAATTCCAAAAAAATATTCTAATTAGTATGCAAATTATTCTCGGTTGAATTTTTTTGTGCTAATTAAAACCCATTTACAATTATCATGCAAAGTTATGCTACATGTAGCTGTGTTGGGCAAGGGTATCGCCGGTGGCCAATGTAATTTACATTTCCTGCTTTTTTGCACTAACT